GTCCACCCAACAACAAGCAACATAGAATCCATCTCATATGGAACACAGCCACAGGGCAGATTTACATGCAGAAGGAATAGTAAGACGCGAAGCATGAGATATCAAAACTTGACGTCAAAAAGGCCTTGACCTCGTGTTTTAGCGTTCTCTTTTCTGCAACTTTGGGAACATGGTTCTTCTTGGCCTATACAAAAAGATGGCTCATAACTCATCTCCACTACATAGGGACTAAATTAAATAGGAAATAACATCACAGCACTTGTCAAGGAATTTAAGCCTTAACTTGGAAGGTTACTTAGTGCTTGGTAAACGTGCGTGAACTGTGCAAGGTAAACGGAGGGAGTAAGAAGATGAAATAGTGAAAATGGGAAAGGTGAGCTGATAGAGGGGAATCGAGTAGTGTCCTCTAGAAATAGAAATGACTTGGCTGTTGCTAACAATATCTACTTTGTACCCTAGTGCGTCAAATGTGTTAACAAAGACACACTTAATTACCCACACTTAGGTATCGCCTTGGGCTTGGAGTAGAACACGTGGCCATGAAACCTCAAGGCCTAGAAACACTTTTTTCATAGGCAAAATAAGTCCACTTAATCCATCACATATCTCCTAACCCCTGGCCAAACGCTAGGTTTGGTTCAATCCCGACTCAACTCAAGAAGGATTTCATATTCGTTCCCACTCCTTTAAATAAAAACTTCGTCCCGAAGTTTACCTGTTGTGAACAGATGCGGATATATCTGGTCGGCATGGTGTCTTCTGGATTCCCAAGTTGCTTCGGTTCTGTTCTATGATTCCTCCAAAGAACTTTCACCCAATGCTATTGTTCTTGGTTCGGCAATTCTTTAGTTTTCTCTGGCTAGGATCTGAACTGGTTCTTCTTCATAAGTGAGATCCGGCTGAATATCAATCCTCTTCCCGATAATGACATGTAGGGATCGGTGATCTGTATCTCCTTGAACATTGAAAATACATCGAAAATACCATTATCGGATTCGATCCCTAAAGGTTGGGAGGTATGGCTTAGGGACGATAGCTAATGGGTCCTACGCGTTCAACAATCTCGTATGGACCCAATGAAACCTAGGACTTGCTTACCCCTTTTGTCCAAACCTTAGAGAATCGCTTCTTCCCATGGTGAAAACCTTCGAGAAATACTTTGTCCACCCAACCGAATACCGTCAATGTCTTTCTCTTTAAGAATCCCGCATAGGTATTCTGTCGAGGTCAACTTGCTTCCTTCCATCCGTGGCGCTTCTGAGGGTGATGGTTCTACTTTCTCTTCTGTGTCCTGGTCCCAAAGATCTTGGAGCACCAAATCTTCTTCTCACCTAAGTTCTGTCCAACATACCAGGCTGTCGTGGATCTTTTTCTACCATACATGCTTCATACGGGTGGGCCAATCGTTGGGGATTGCTCGCTTGATAGCTGTTGTTGTAGGGTGCAACCTCCAATGAGAGATACATATTTGTCCCAACTGCCTTAGACCAACATTCAATAACCACATGAATCTCTAACATGTCTTCAGGATTGAAAATCAACTGCTCTCTCTGATTGCCCATGCTGTCTGGCGGATGAAATGCAGTGCTGAAATAGGCAGTTTCGTTAACTAAATGCCTCTTGTAAGTTGTACCCCAGAGACTTCCGATGTAAACCTTGGATCGGACCGATCAGATGATAATGGATGGGATGGAGACTGCCGATGTAGTGGTCGAACTAGTCTCCACTACATAAGATTTTCCTGCTGAAGACTTGTCCAGAGAATAGTCCGGCGTCTTAACTTGGTAGGTAAAGGTGAGCCTAGACTGGTTATGCTGTCCGACAATTTATAAACCCATACTGCAGGTCATGGCTTCCCGCTGGTGTCTGAGGGTGAGCCAGTACAAGAGTCCGATACCGTGATCTGATCCCATTTCCCATTTGGCACTATTATGGGATGAAGTAAACCGGATGGCAGTTGAATGTTCTGCGGGTTTTACTTGTTGACAGTGTTAAACATCGGTTGTTACAAACATACTCCGATCGTCTCTCTTCATGGCCTAGCCACCAAGTAGCCTGTTTCTCTAAAATCTTGATACAGTCTGGTGCTACCTGGATGGCATTGTATAGGACTGTTATGAGCTTTGCATGCAGAATCGTGTTTGTCTGATCTCAACCTGTCTTGGAACAACACACTCTGTTTTCAGGGTAGAATAAGACTCCACTATTATCCAATCTTGAATTTCCCCACCATGATCTTCTGTACTTGTTGTAATCCCATAGTGCTGATTTGTGCAGGTCTTTCTTCGCGTGCTTCTGCATACTTCCTGAAGGCAAGATCGGTTGTACTTGCATCTGGCGGGAGAATAGGCTCCTGCTGGGTGTGTAACTCCATACTAAATTCTCATTAAAGCTCAAAGGCCATACAAGGATTTCCGGCTGAGGGCATCCGCTACCACATTAGGCCTTGCCTGGATGATTAATTAATGACATAATCATAATTAGCCAGAATCTGCAATCCACTTCCGTTGTCTTGAATTTCAAGTCCTTCCTGTGTTGGTAAGTACTTTAAACCTCTATGATCTGTGTAACAATGTAACACTTTTCACCATACAGATAAGCCGCCATACTTTGGGAATGCTAGAGGACATGCGCCTGCCAGTTCTAATTCATGGGTTTGGATAATTCAACTCATGTGGGTTTCAAGGTTGTCCCTGGAGACATAGGCGAGCCACTTTCTTATCTTGTGGCAGGGAGTACACATCCCAACCCAGTAATGAGAAGGCATCACTGTAGAATCTCAAATCTTTACTGACACTGGCTGAGTTAACACTAGGTGCTTCAGTCACTTTCTCTTTCAAAGTGTCAATAACTCTGCTGACAATCTAGCATCCATTGAAATACAACCTCTTTTTTCAATAGGTTCCTTGTTAAAGGTGATGTCAATGTGGGAGGAATCCTTTACAAACCTTTCTGTAATAACCGGCTAAACCCAGAAACTCGAGACTTTCTTGGAACATTTCTGGTGGTCTCGCAAGTCAATACATAGCTTCAATCTTCTTAGAGATCTCACTCTGAATACCCTCCGATGACACCACAATGTCCCCTAAGAAAAGAAACTCTTCTAGCCAAAACTCACACTTACTGGGAGCTTGCATAGCAGCCTGTTTATCTCTTCATGTCATGAAGTACCAATCCGTAAATGCTTATCCATGTTTCTGCCCTGTCTCTGGAGTAGACCAAAATGTCGATCTATAACAACCACCACAAACTGACCAGGTAGAATGAAATACGCGGTTTCATGAGATCCCATGGGAAAACCGCCCGTGGGTGCATTTGTAAGACGCGAAATGGCAATGACTAAAAATTCATAAGTGAACCATGGGATCGGGTCCTGAATGCAGTCCTAGCGATATCTCTCCTTCCTTTATCCGCACGCTGATGGTATCCCACCTGAGGTCGAATTTTAGAAACATACCTGCACCCTTTAGGTTGAATCAAAACAAATCAATCAATGCGAGGCATGGATGGCTTATTCTTGATTGTCAAGTTTATTCAACTGTCTGTAAGTCAGATGCACAATCTGATGATTCCATCTTTCTTCTTTACAAATAAACCGGGTGCTTCCCCAAGGTGAGATACACTGGGTCTGATAAAAAGCCTTTGTCTAATAACTCCTGCACGCTGAATGTTTTAACTCTTTACAGTCTGCTGTGCGTTCTGTAAGGTGCAATAAGAATACTTGGTGCTGGGGCTGGAGAGGGGTGGCATGGATTGCATGGATAGACATGGTAGGTCTATGGTAAAGGTGCATGTCCCACTTCCCTCCTGGTCTGCCTTGGTTAAACGCGGTTCATCTGGAAATACAGTCTGGATAATCACGTGGGACAAGGTAAGGGCAGGCGAGGGCGCTGTTGGGGTGAT